CCCCCCCCCCCCCCCCCCCCCCAGACTCTTTACCAATGCAGAACAACTCAATTTATGTCTCATTAGTATTCTGCTGTTCGACTGACATTCTCCTCTATATTTTAACTTGTTCTCTGCAAACTGTCCAGTTTTGTTCCCCTGTAGCCTAATGCTAAGCATTCATTTGAATAAAGACTGCACATTTACAGTCTGTACCTGTGATTTACATTCTGCTATTGGTTGTCCATCATTTTGGTGTCCCGTTTCTCTTAGTCATGTGTTGCTAACGACGTTTAGCTTGTCTAGCCGCAGACACCTGCTGTTTTACAGACAAAGCCGTTTCCCTGTGTTGCCTTTGCAGATGTTTTGGCTTAGGCCTCGGACCTCGAGCCTGCAGGAGACTCCTGCAGGGAATCGCCAAACTGACAGGAGGGACTACAGAGTTTTTGGATGAGGAAGAGAGACTCCAGCCCAAGGTCAGCAGCAGTGCAGTACTGTCACCTACTGGAGATACACGAATAGCACAGTTACATTTAAAATAGTCCGAAGTAAATCCATATTGATTCACGGTTATCTTTTTAACAGGCAAAATAACTAGTAGGCTAATAATGGTTTAAAAATGTAAAAACGGTGGCAAATATTTAGCCATAAAAAAAGATTTTGTGAATAAAACCAAAGGTAAGCCACTTACCATTAACTGTGTGAATAAGTTAAGTTTTCAACTGAGCAATATAGTGACAAATGCATTACTTAAATCTCATGCAGGTGATCAAGTCTCTGAAAAAGGCTTTTGAACCTGTGCTGACTGATGTTCGTATTGACTGGTACCTGCCAGAGAATATGGAGGCTCTTCTCTCCCCAAACGAAATCCCTCCACTCTACCCTGGTGATTGTGTCGTTGGATATTGCACTCTTTATGACATGACGGGTTTCAAAACCAAAAAGATAGAGGTATGTTGCATAGTTGCCTTTTCAAACATGAAAGCTGTTCTTGGTGAGAATCATTATACATTTTCTTAAATGATTTCTTATAGTCTCAAGGACGGGACTATAAACTCTCACATCGGGACTCCACTGGTTCTGTTTTCGGCCAGTCAAATGATGAGCTTTCACCCCCTCCTGCTTCTGAACTAATGCCGGTGGTGACCGGTGCTGATGGCGCTGACCTGGAGGAGGCCCTGAGAGAAATCTCTAGAGAAATCTCCTCTGAATTCTCTTGTGCGAGAAACACGGACCCTGGAACCAGTCCCGGTCAGTCCTTCATCACTGAAACCTGCCTTAACTCTGTGGACGCCTTTGTTCTAAGTGGTTAACAGTTGGGTTTTATACACTTCAGGTGTGGAGCTGGACTGGTCCAGTGATATAAGGAAGAGAATCCAAGAGAGTTCGTACATCCAGGAGCAGTACATCCTCACTCACTGCTCCCTGAGTAGTGAGCGAAGTCTTCAAACACATTCCCACTCACACATACACGCTTCCAACTCAGACTCGGCAGGCGACACCTTTTTGTGTGACTCTCATTCCTCTGGACCGGTGTTTGATACCGGGTCTCTACCTCAAGGCCTTGAGAAGATGCCCTCTCCTGACCAGAGATCCACTCTGTCTCGCTGGGCAGACTCAGCATGGCAGCAAAGCCTTTCGGCTGAACCTCCTGACAACGGGGCAAAAAAGGCAAGACGAATAGTAACAAATCCACAGAGAAAACCATCATATCGATCTAACCCAAGACCTTTTGGACCTCTTGTTTTCCCTCTTACGCAACCAGATTGAGCGCCTGGATGTAGGCGAGGAGTCTCGTAGGAGACAAAAAGCACTTGCCCGTTCGACCATGGCAGCGAGGAGTTTCTCATCACCCCAGGGTGAGCTGGAGATGCATCGCCTGAGGAGGGCTCTGGAGAAGGTGTCCTTCGACCAAACTCTAGGAGGGAGGCTTGACGAAAGTGATGGAGAGACAAAGACGCCTTCAAAAGGGACTCTGTCCCACAGGAGCCTAACTGACTCCAGTGAGTGAGGATGAGTGCTGAGAGAGTCAGTACCACCTGTTACAATTCCATTCCGTTCCATTTTTACGAACTTTCTCTCATGGATCCTTAGATGGACTTCTGTTTCCTGCCTCCCCCTTGGACTGGGACAACCTCACAGACCCAGAGTATCTCTTCACTGCTGTTCCACCAGAGGATCCCCCACCAGGTAAATGCCGCTCCCTCATTCATGGGGTCCTGAATGGAAGGCCTGTGTCCTGGGACGTCACTGTAGACCTGGGACACCTCTGGAACCCTGAGGGTGAGAAAATCAAAGGGGTTGACAGATGTGAAAGCAGTGGGGAAGAAGAAGGAAAGCCATGGGAAGAGATTATTCACCAACTGACCGCCCGCTCAGTAATAAGGGACTTTGAGAAAATGGCAGAGAAAGAGGGCAACGGTGGACAAAGTGAGTCCAGATCATTCTTTTTAAAAGGTTTTCATTGATAATTATGCCCTGAAGTATCACATATCCTCCTGATCTCTTAAGTTTGAAAAAAATAATGTTATTGTGTGTTTTAGGTGCGGCTAAACGGCATCGTACGAAGGCTATCCAGACAAGTAAGCATTGTAACATCATCTGCATGTACACAGCCTTCACCACTAGCAACAGCAGCCCCAATAAAGTCTCATCAGAAAGCATGGATGTATGCAGCACAGGTAAGCAGCTGTATGCCGATTATTACATTTTATCCAGGATATTTTCTCTGCCTCACAGATAAAGTACAAATAAAGTGTACTTTAAGAACTATTTCGGCCATATTTCAGAATATTAAAGAGGGATCTATTTCATTCTGGCTTATTTGCAGTGCATCTACCCTGTAAATGAAAGAGGTATTATTATACATTTAGATAATAACTGTCAACTCAGAATGTTGAGCCATTGAGGGATGACAAAGCTGTGAAGTTACAGAAGTTTGAAAAGGGACGTATGATAGCCATGGAAATCTACAAGAACAGAGTTGGTAGTGCAACCTTTGGATATTTACCACAGATTCAAGCAATGTTTTGATAAATTTGATTGTGTTTGGCAAGAAGAACTAAAAAGATTTCGATCCATCCATATATAAAAGTTCAGACTTGCATGTGGATGAACTTGTGTTTGCAGCATCTTAAATGCCTCTCTCTTATCCGCTCATTGTAACGCACTGTACCACTAGACTCAGAAAGGCCACATCAAAACACACGTCGCCTGAAAATGTAAACCTGTTTTTGCAAAGAAAGGCTTTAACAGCTGTCATCTGGGTTCAAGGTTTTACATTCTATCCAATAAAGGATAGAGGAGTAAACCCCCCGTATACACTTCAGACTACACTTGAGTAGCACCATTCATGTCCCTTTGATTTTGGGAGAACTGAAACATCCCTTTGTTTGTACAACTTGGAAAAGTGTTGACATTTCCGTTTGTGGAGAGAAGCTTTACGAGGAGAAAAAGAAAAGTCCCAAAAAGATGCCCTTTAAAAATGGGGAAAAGAAAAAAGATTTGAAAAGATACACTGAAATGGAAGAGTTTAAATGGGGTATTCGTATTCCTACTAAATACCTGTGAATATTGACTAATTATTCATTTTCTCTCCCTTTCTCTTTGTCCATGTACATCTGTGTGCATGTATTATGAATTTATATCTACATATCATGGTGGAAAGGGTCCTTTTTTATCAGGGGGTTACTGAACTATCAGGCTGTTTGTTTCAGTTTTCTTACTTTTCAGCTTTTGTCTTTGAAATGAAGAATTTGTGAGATTTGCGTTTAAAAATGTAATCCTATATTTCTGTTGTATTTATCTGTATGCACATAGGCATTCACCTGGGGAACAGGCAGACCTCTCAGTCTGGTAGCGGCAGGCAGAAGACCTACTCGGTAGGACTGGGCAGACGGCGCACCAGCAGAGACAGCGAGGAGGTCGACGACACCTGGAACTCAACAGGTAAACCAAATCATATCTGCACCCATTTCTGTTGTAAATACTTTAGGTCATCGGCAATCTTTGTATCTCTCAGACAGAGATGACACTCCTGCCTCACCCTGTAGCGTTGCCTCCTGGAGTTCTAGTAAGTATGGCTGTGAAAACACTGTGAAAGACATTTCAGCGCGAGTACGGTCTCCAGAAGAGAGGCTTCTGAATGCCATTTGAAAATCTGGATGGTCTATGGCTGGAAAACATCATCAACTTTCTACCCCAGCTGGATTTAAGACAGCATTAGCTCAACTAGTTCACCCAAATATATACCTGATCTCAGTGGAATTCAGTCTTCTTTGTTTGATCGTTTTTGTCATTCTGGGTAGAGCGAGTTCTCATATAGAACAATCCTGGTCACCCACTGAGTAAACAGTGCAATTTGTTTTACTCTATTGTGTTCTCAGATGCAGGTGGTATGGGTTTCTGTACCATGGCCCCTTCAACAACCGGCCCTTCGTGCAATCGTTCGCAGCGATCCATAGAGAGCAAGTCGATGGAGAGCTTCTTTGGCACCCGGTGAGACTTTGCTGTGACATTAGCTAGAAGAGTCGATTGAAACTGAGGATTTTCCCAAAGGAATGTAATGTGGATTGTGCTCCGTTTTCATGTGTTCAAGGTTCCCACTGGGCAGACTCAGGTCCTCCATTTCATCAGGAAAGCAGGTTCCCCTCAAGTCCCACTGTTTATCAGCAGAGACTGACAAGCAACCAGAGAGTGAGGCCCCAGACTATCTGCCCCTGGTGAGCGGAGAGCTTATGCAGCACATTCCACGGCAATCGCCGTGTTTAAGCATCTAAGAGGCTAATGGTCATTATTAGTATCAAGTATACTGCGTTTTGCTTCCTTTCTCCTCAGGCTTATCCAAACTGTATTACTTCACTAAACACGCCTGTGAAAGCTCCTTCTCTGACTCGTTCCTTTCCCAGGTGCACCTGCAGCTTGCATCGGGGGCTTTTCTGCTGACAGAGGTCTACTCCGACTGCGTCCAGATCCCCCTGGACCGCCTTAAAAGAGCGTCGCCTTACAGTCTTCACCGCCGCAGCCTCAGCCCGGCCTTCCGCTGCATATCCCCCAGCGCTCCCTCTTTATCCACCGCCGCCAGGGCCTCAGGTGCCCCCGTCAGTCACCACGTTACCTTCTCCCCTTCCTCGTGCTCACTCGCCAAACCGGCCGCTCCTCCCTTTCACCACACTTCAGACGGCACCCCGTTGATTCTGGAGTCAAGGCTTCTGCGGAGACACCTGTCCGACCGAGACCCTGCCACCTCACCCCCTGACCTCCCGAGCTCCGAGGAGGGCTCCCTGGAGCTCTCAGTCGGCCTCTCTCAGAGCCAGAGCCTCGGCCAGGCGGACAGCGGCCGCGGCTCGGAGACGGACGTCTGCGAGGGCTCCTCCGTGGAACCCGCTGACCTCCAGTGCGGCAGCCAGCTGGCTCAGGACGACCTGGAGGGCTCGAGCTGGGCCACGGCCGTGGCCCTGGCCTGGCTGGAGCATCGCTGCGCCGGCTACTTCATGGAGTGGGAACTGGTGGCGGCCAAAGCAGACTTCTGGCTGCGCGGTCAGCAGCTGCCGGAGGGAGTGGACCTGGCAGGGCTCAGAGGAGCAGCCAGACAGCTGTTTCTGCTGCTGCGCCACTGGGACGAGAACATCCAGCTCAACATGCTGTGTTATAACCCCAACAATATGTGAGACAATCATCTTAGAGGAGACTGAGCCAGATCTAACCACGAGCTGACTTGTTAGAAGTGATACTGAGGAAACGTCTGTGTAAAATAAACAGCTGCATTTTATTAACTGATACTGTAAACCAGTGGAATTCTAATTTTACAGGACATAGACCAAGTGGCCTTTAATAGTAACAAAGCTTTAAGCAGACACAATAATGCCTTGACCACCTGAAGTAAAACTTCTTAATCTAGAATGTAGCTTGTAACCGATGTAATGTAGCCTATTCCAAATGCTGAATCACATCAATGAGAATCAGAATAATTATCTGATAAATTCAAGATGACTTTAGCTTATATGAAGCAATTACAGCTGGGAAAATAAAGAAAATAAAATTGTAAATAAACCAGTTGTTATTTTTTTAAGAAATGATGGAAACAACGGAAAGGTTCGTTAAATAAAGACTGCTGACAAGACTTTATATCAGGGTGGGGACAATCTCAAATCTCAGTCAGAAAGTCACGACATGTAAAGCTTTTTTATCTATTTGTTGTTCTTTGGGATATCTTTGACATTTTCTTAAATGCCCTGACGACCTGTCACAATGAAACATAAATGTCAATTTCTGATAAGAACTGCAGGTCAAATTACAGTTAGGGTGAAGTTTTATCAACAGAAACTTTCTGTAACCCACATAACATTTTTTTTCAACACAGCATTCCATTCATGATTGCTCCCTTCCACTGATTATGGAACTGAAAATGAACCCATGAGAATCTCCCACATCTCATACCTCCTATTGCAAGTGGCAGCTAGAAGTCACAGCATCATGCACATGATCGTCTGCAAACACGTTTGTCCCCTCATGTCATATCAAAATATTAAATCTTCCTTCATCCTCTTAGAAGCAGTCCTCCACAGCGACCTCACTTGAGGATCGGAGGGTGGAGGGTGGTGATGGAGGCTGTTCGGCAGCACCTTCCGGTCCCATCGGCTGCAGCTTAGTGGTGTTTCTCCTTCCCGGCTGTCTGTTTGTGTGTTTCCTGTGAAGTGGAGAGCAGCGGCGGAGCCAGCCATAAACAAAGGAGGATGATCAGGTGACAGACATGAAGGGCGGCTGAGCTGCTGTTGGTGGATGGGTACGTGTTCCAGGACAGCTCGATGAGACCCAGGATCAAAACTCTGGACGACAGAAAGAGACAGCTTTGTCACTTCCGTGCATGAGGCTTAGGGAATGTGTTATAGAGCGAGAATTCTTAGGCTTATTCCCACCTGAGCAGGTGAGCGAGCTTCTTGACTCCTCCGCTCCAGAGCAGGTAAGGCAACGTGTGGAAGTACCAGACGTAGAACTGGTAGTGCAGCGAACGGCTGAAGCACATGCCAATGAAGTTAGAGGTGAACAGAATAAGCACAATCTGTGATGTCTGTTAAGGCTCAACAACACAGATAACTTCACTGATTTAACAACCAACAGATCTACACTTAACGGTCCACTAAAGGGAGGTTCAAAGCAGATTGAGGGATATGCTGATATGATATCTAGTGGCAAGATTACAAAATGAGAAGATAAATCATTCCCTTTCACATATCTCACACAGTGTTACGTGCTCAAATTGTAAAGCTGCTCTGTAACAGAAGGATATGATCCACAGTGCACTTCTGAGCAGGCATTTTCCTCCTGCTTGGGTCCTTGAGCAGCTCAAAGAGGCTTTCTCCCGGTCTGGTGAGAGAAAACAGCTTTTTAATAACTGGGGAAAAAAGGTTGCGACTTCTTTTCTACAATTCTCTGTTAATGTACACAGCTAATTAACCAACATTTAAATGTTTCCTTCATACCATGAGGAAGAGTCCTCCTTTTAAGTCATATTACTATACACTGATATACAATATTACACTACATAAAATATATATCTAGAAAACTCTCCAGCAGTTTCTTTGAAACCACCAACTCTCTAAGTCTAAGCCTGTTGCCTCTTATTGCCTCCTTTAAGCTCATTCCTACTGATTCATGAGTAACACCGGCAAAGCCAAAGTCAGTCTCACCTCTTCCAGTGGCGGAGAGCAAAGAGCAGCAGAATGAGTAGATGAAGACTCAGCAGGAGCAGGTGGAAATAACGATTCAAGAAGAGCCACTCGGGCAGGAAGCGCCAGTTGACCGTCCACTTGAACAAGAACTGACGCCCAAGATCGAATGCCCGGCTTACATAACCGACAGGATTCTCTATGAGGAACGGCATTCCCAGCAGAAGCTGTATCAAGAAGGACAACCGTGGAGATTAAAGCAGCAAAAACAAAAAGAATATGTGCATTTATGTAAAAGAGAGCATGTACCTGTATGCCTGCACACAGTGATAGTTTAGGGATTGTCCTGATGAAACCAAACTCTGACAGGAGGAGAAAAAGAAGCCCCGGGGCGAAAAGGAGGACGTTCATTTTCACAGACACTGCTAAACTGTCAGAAACAGGGAGGAAGACAGAGTTGCAATTTAATCCTGTCACTCAGGGTGAGAATATGCAACTAGAAAAAACTAGTTCTGATTCCATGTGTTTCTATTCTATTCTACAAGCGAGTCATTTAAAAAGAGCAGCTACGGGGAGTCCACACTTGCCTGAAAAGGAAGCAGCCCAGGGTCCAATATCCATCCATGAAGAGATTGACAGCTGCAAAGAGAAGCATCATGGCCACTGGATCATTAAAGAGACGGAGCACAAAGATGGAATGGATCCGATAGGAGGCACAGCATACGAAGAAGAACACATACGGAGGAACCTGGAAAAACGACAGAAAATGACTTATTAATAGTAGTATTATTCTAAGAATTAAGAGATTGAATATGTTACTCTGCTTTTTAACACCTGTAAGTACACAGCATATATTATGTTCAAAGATTCAATGAAAGCAAATGCAACAAATTTTGTAGATTCGTAAAAACCAGACTTGCCTTTTTAGTTCGATTGTATATCCTGAAAACAAGCAGCAGTGTAATGAGGTAGAAAACTGCAAAAATGTACTGGCCCAGACGAATATTCACCCCATGGCCGGTAACAAAGTACAGAGCTGTGAAGATGTAGACGAAACCAGCAGGATACCTGCAAAAAGATTTATTTTGATAATTCATCCAGAGCACTTCTACAGGAGGAAGGTGAGACTTCCAATATCAAGAACTTTTGGACCTTACACTAAAGGGCCAGTGTCTCCTTTAAGCTGGGTGTAGTCGTAGGTTCCATTGATGACCCCCTCCACCTCATCCATGTAGGCTTTCCAATCGATCTCTGTGTCTGCAAGAAAGTCCATCAAACAGAGAGCATCTCTAACTATTTAAAAACCAACATCTATTAGTTTTCACTTTTAAAGTTTAATAACTTTAGGAAAAGTGGCAAAACTAACTCATAAACAATAACTTGTGCGTGTGGATTAATTGACAATAACATTTATGAGATGATTTCAGGTTTTACATAAAAATACATTTAAACAGATCGTGATGTGCACCTTAAGTATTTGACGTTTTTAAGTCCATAGTATCACAAATTAACAAGCTTGTGGTCTTGTCCTGGGCCCTTTATTATAGAAAGGCAAAATTCCAATGGCAGTTTATCCAAGTAATGTTAATCATCTTTATACTATTGTCTTACTTGCACTGAAGAAATAAATTCAGATAATATCACTTAATTACTTTCCTCACTTAACATTTTGATATTTTTGTTGAAAACACCTTGAAATTTGATTATCTTATCTATAAAATTACATAGTTTATTACAGACCACTTGTATCTAATGAAACGGATCTGATTTAAATGTCGCCTAACCTAATACAAAGTTTTGCTGCCACACTGTAAGCTTCTGTAATGTGTCAAATTTCTATCCAGTTATTGGGATAAGAATTCCAATTATCAATAAAACGCTATTAATACATAAGGCATATTGGTGTTTGTGCAGCCAGTATTTATACTATGATCAATGAGCTCATCTGGGATCGCATATCTCTAAAGTCTAAAATGAAGAATGTCGTTTTAAAACTGGCCAGAGCAGACCGAAGTCTCAGCGCAGTGACAGTAAATTCCTTTGGACAGGTGGTGTGTAAGTTGATGCTTTGCTAAGGCTAACTACTTAGCATTCAGATGCGGTCGGAGAAGTGGCAAGACACCGAAGCATGCTAACTAGCCGCGTGGCTACTTACAGGCTACTTTCTGTATGACCCACACATTGATTCCGATTTCCAGGAACCACAGCACTGACACGACCAGTAACGTGTACTCCGTCTTGAACAGAGCCAAATGCTTTTCCTGCCACAGAGTCTGCAGTTTCCCCCATAATGGCGACGGAGAAACTGGAGGTTTTCTCCGTGTACTGCCTGCCATCTCTCTCAGCGGAGATAAGTGACGTGTAGCTCTGGTCGCAGCTGACATTCGCCCATTCTGTGTCACGTGACGTTTCATCTCTTACGTCACCGGACATGGACAACGCTGCCCAGGACATGAGAAATTGACAAGAATCGTCTCTCCTTCAGGTAATAAATACTTACCAAAGTCTCAATGTTTTTGACAATCAATAAGCATGCCATTATAAACGTTTCCCTTCTTTATAGTTTGTACTTTTTAATGGCATGGTCGTTAAAACGTTTAGAGGTCACTGTTGTTCTCCCAGCTGTCCTAGCAACGTTAGCAAAGCTAGAAGCTAACTTTACTTTCAACAGAATATATGAGGAGAATTTCATTTCACCGTACTTAACATAAAGTGCAGAGGGACTTCCGGATGTTGTCATGTCACTTTTTGTCTCAATAACAGGTGTTCGGTTGTCTCTGGTCCTCTGCCTTTCCCCCCTTTATTCCCCCTTTATTTTCAACCCTTCGAAATAACCATAACGATCCTCCTCTTAAAATATATTCATGACAGGCGTTCCTTGAAAAATATTGCTCGCTTCGAAAGAACTTTTAGAGCCATCACAAAGACTCTTTCATTCAAAAAATCTGCACCTGGTTTTGTTTTCTTTCAAACCGAAACAGAGAAGTTTGCAGTTTACTGGAATGTAATAGTAATATTATGTTTGCATATTCCTCTTATAATGCAGATATCTTTGCTTGATGATAAACCTGTAAGTTGGTTTGCAGTGTTAACACTTAAGTAGTACAAGGCACATAAAAATAAATTATTTTATTATTGTGTAATGAATAATATAGTGTATTGCCACATGGTTTATTCTTATTATTGTGATACCTGTCCCCCTCTTTAATGAGACAGTACCTTGCAGGCTCACTGCTGGAGACTGATGGCTGATAGATGTTCTACCCTTGCTCCATAGGTCTGTCTGTGTGCTTTTGTGGTTGTGCCACGGCAACCAGAGGGAATGGAGGAATTCTCCGTGTCTATAACCGAGGCAGCGTGTCTTGGGGCCAGCCTCGCCTTGTCAGGCATCTTCTATTACCTCCATAAAAAAAGCAGAACAACAGTCAAGAAACTTGATGTAAGTTTAGTTGTTTTTTTTTCATTTGGAATGACGCACTTTATATTATGGTATCTGTAAATTCAGTTTCAGAGCCCAGAAAAATTATCCAAATCTGCTATAGGAAAAACATAAAGCTGGTGGAAGTTTAAAGGCTTAATTTTATTTATTTATTCTACAAAGATGGTTTTCCATTTTCTTTTCTTGCCTCATGTAACGTTGTATAACAATCTTTTGAAGCCTTGAGGGGATTTTTTTGATAATCTGTATGTTTTATTGTCAGAATGCTCCACACTTCGCTCTAGACGGAAAACTCAAAGACCTTTTGAAAGTTACTCCAGGAGCGTGTTTGCGATATGCTGTCATTGAAGGTGATCAGGCAGTCGTTTGTTTTGAGACTTACATGAACTGATTGCATGGATTCCTCCTGACAGGACCACCTTGTCTCTCACTTTGCGTGTTTATATGTTGTAGGTACTGTGAAACCAGTAGGTGAGCCTCTGACGAGTCACTTCCATAAAGAAATATTTGGTGTGTTACAAAAATTCATCCTGAAGGAACACAGGCTGGTGTGGAGCGGACTTTCACGCACATGGTGAGTAATGTGTTGAAACGGCAAGACACAGAAGAGTTCAACCAAAAGGATTGAGTCATTTTGCCTTAATGATCATCATTCTGTCTCTCTCCACCTGTTACAGGTTGGACACTGAACGCGTTTTACATGAAAGAGTGAATATGGTGCCCTTTGTATTAGCTGGATCCGATGAGACCACAGTGAAAGTCGTGTCCCCTCTTTACGCAGCTGGAAACCACACAGAGATCACCAATGAGAAATTTCATCAGGCTACGTTTGGTTTTGGAGAGCTTGTAGGACAATACCTCAGTGGGGAGAAGCCTAAAGGTCTTCTGGAGCTCGAGGAAATGCTCAAAGTCAGTTTGTTTCTTTGATTTTTAACTTCTGCTCCTTACTAATAAATCCACATGTCATTTCTGGTTTCTTTATACTTGATACTAAGGCCGATTTTAGCTAAAGCAGTCTTTTTTTTTCTCCAATTATTCAACATTTGCAGGTAGGAACAACTCTTACTGGTGTTGGCGAGGTAATACTGGACACAGATGGTAATCTGAGTCTTCGACCCCCTTCTGATGGCTCCCAGTACTTCTTGAGCATGGCAGATTTTGAAACTCTGCGACGAGAGAACGACAACATGGCTGCGTGGTGGAAAGTGCTGCTGGTTGCCTCTGCTTTGGCGGGCTCAGCGGTCCTCTTCTGGGCCGGACTGCGCTACTACCGTCACCTCAAAGTCCGCTGGGAGCGGGAGAAGGAAAACAGGGAATTTGTGAGAAGGCAGAATCAAGACGCTAGACTACGCTCGGATGGGGCCGATGAAGACGGGGCAGACGATGGCTCGGGGAATGCCTGTGTGATCTGTCTCAGTCGCCCTCGAGACTGTATCCTGTTGGACTGTGGGCACGTGTGCTGCTGCCACGCCTGCTTTAGGGCCCTGCATCATCGCAAATGCCCCATCTGCAGACAGGACATTGTCAGAGTGCTGCCTTTTTACCAGCCCTGAAGCACCTGTGTGACTGTATGGCCTCGGTGGACTTAAAACACCTCAGACTAGTCCAGTTTTACCTCCTCATGGTATAAAAACTGTTGCACTTTTGATTTTGCAATGAATAAAAAAAAAAACGGGCGCTGAGCAAATATTTTGCTCATAGCAAAGGGTCAGTCAGTCACTTTTTCTTGTCCAAAATAAAAAAAAAGACTTGTAAAAAAAAAAAAAAAAGAAAAAAGCAAGTAAGTAAAATCATACGGTGGGGAACAAAGTGTAAAATCAGGCAATACAAATGTATATTTTCATAAATGTTTATGTGCCTTACTCTGAATGAACATGGCTGCTGCTGTCACAGTAAAGGTGCTATACTGTATGTTTTAAGGTTGTGGCTTAATTAATGCACAATAGAAACTTGAGCATGTGGAGACGGTTTATTGTTACAGATTAAGTTTACCATCTTTTTTTCAGCTACCTTGTTGAAAAGTTGAAAAGGTTGCCAAGGGAGCATCCGATTTTATTATTCCATGTCTGCAAGAGCTTCATAATAAAGGTGGGGATAAATGAAGGTACACATGCACTAAAGTTAAGTCCTTGGAGTCGTAGTGACCGCATATACTGAGTAATATGAATATTTAGTAACATCTAAAAAGGTGCACAAGTCATTTTTTTATGTTACTGAAGTCCAGATAACATACCTTACAGTTTGAACATTCCTATCCATTCCATCCTAATGAGTCCCAACACAACTTAACATTACATCCTCCACTCGAATTCTATTGATCCCCTGTGTATGTGTTTCTGTTCAGATAAAATGCATTTAACAAGAAAAAGATTTGCAGGTAATGATAACCTCTTCATCTAAGGCTACGAATGAATTGATTGCACAGATAGATAAACACAATATATTCTGCACCTGTGAATCTGAATGACTGCTATTAAATCCCATAGCTGGTGCAAAGTTCAGACTTGAATAGTCACAAGACTCAATGTGAGATGTGAGATTCTTTTTCATCTTTTGCTGAAGCTTAAATGCTTATTGACAGCACCTGGTGTCTGAAAAGACTTTTGGTGAGTCATCAAGACCTCTATTTTTGTCATCTCTAGGCAGCAGGGAGTTGACGCTGAGAAATGCCACCTTGAAAAATTTACTTTGAGCAGTTCCAGTGAGAAGGGGGTAAAAAATCTGTGTACGTCTGTGAGGTGAAGAGTACAGCATCAGGGCGGACTCAAGGATGAAACAAAAAACAAGTGGACAACACAAGATCCCCACAAGGGTTCACTTTGTCAATGGAACCCATGCTTAGGCCTCAGGGAGTGGTGGATATTTGCATTTGATTTATCCAACTGTACAGAGGGGCTGAAACACATCTGAGCAAAAGAGTTGTTGTTTTTTTGGGAGACAAAATCCCCACACACACAGAAAAGATAACCTACAAAGTGATCACGGGCTGGTTACTAATACCGAAACAAAAACAGACTGCATCAATATAATCATGACGAGAGGTACTGTTCTGGCAAACATTCGCTTTTCCAACCACTAGATGTCCATCTTTTTCTTCCTGTACTTGCAGAAATGAGGGGAGCTCACAGATTTCAGTGGATCGTTCCCACATCACATGCAATTACCTCAAACGGCGAGGTCCTGTTTAATTCTCTCCGATACCTGTCAAACTATTTAGATGACATGATTATTTCCTAATTGACTCAGCCAAAACGGACTTGAAGGGAGGGCGTGCAGAGTGGTGAGTCATTGAGGTGAAACCTAATCATATTGTATGCAGTACACGAGTATGAATTCTGCTCGGTCACGCCAGTTTGCCCACAAGGAATTATATTTTTACGAAGAAAATATGGAGCATTTGGGTGAATTAAAAGAAAATTGTACCTAGATTTACAGTACCAACGTGAGTTTTTTCACTATTTATCTAAAGTCATCGAGTCAAAACAAGCATGCTCGTGTGTGTTTACTTGGTACGGGCCATGGTTGGGTCAAAGCCTTTGCACAAAAAGTGTAAAAGCACAGCTAAAGCAAATGGAGGCTAATGCTGCATCCAGCACAGAGTATTCCAGCTTCCATCCCCGCAGAACAAAGATCTGTTGAATCTCAACATCCTGACACCTGATCCCATGTGCTTTTTACTCCACATGGAAGGGTCCAGGACTGGGACCTTTTCCTTCCCCCTTTGACTGTGCGGGGGCAGGTGTCAGCAGACGCTCCAGCAGAGATGCATTATCTCAGGAGAGAGCCCCATCACAGCGCACCACAGTCCCTGACGCCAATTACCGCCGTCACCCATCTGCTTCGGGCACGCAGTGAAACGTGGGATAAGTGACCTACTTTCTGACAGGGGTGTGACAGCAGAGCTTCTCCTCTTATCAACGATCGGAGAGCTCCCCTCCCCAAAGGAGAAGGGACAACGCCGGGGGGAATGGCTAACGAGCTGATTGGAAATATAGATTATTTTGTTTAGGCCTTGCATTTAAGCAGACAACATTATTTACCTTTTTTAATATTCTAATTTCACTGTGCTTTTTCAAAGTCAAAAGTGATTTCAGAATCACAAATACTTTAATAATCCCTGGGGGGGGATATAGTTATAGTAGTTAATAACTATCGTCTTCTCCATCATAATCGTAACTACTAGACTTTTGTTTTATTTGTCTCTTTAGAATTTCTTTCCCCAGCTAAAAGAAGAATGAAATAGATAATAAAACGCATTGCATTTTAAATCTAAACTATCCAGCAGACTGCATTGAATGTGTGTCCACTGGCTCTGTTGCCCTTATCTTTACACTCACTGGAGTTCAAAGCTTTATTTGCACAATCTACCATTAGGTAAATATCAATCCCGACTCGTGGTACTAAGCGTTGCCTGGCTTTAAAGCGTCCAATGTGGGACAGGAGCGGGGCGCGTGAGGCCGAGCGGACGGCGTGGCCTCTGTGTGTTGATGCCCAGTGCTGTACACTCCAGCTGCTAAAGCCTTGCTAACTGGGCCGTGTGCTCGCCGACCCAACAGCAGGAGCTCTGCCAATGTTCCCGCGGTCTGCCGGAGGATGCTCGCGCCGGTAAACAAACAGCATTCATCTCAATGATGAGAGGAGCAGATACACAAAGCGGCGTCAGTTAGTCAAAGACGGCACGCCTCCTCGTTCCACCGGGACATTTCTGCTTTACCTGATATATGGGCCTGATTTAACTGGGCCTGATTTAACTGGGCCTGCCCCACACAAACACACGCACTAACGCATCTGGTACTCAGCGCTAAATTGATCTATTCGCTTACCTCCAGGCTTGTTATCGATGCTTTTCCACAGATATAGTGTTCCTCAAGGGGTGGAACATAGTGTGTTTATACAATGTGCGTTAGTGCGGTGAGAAAACTATGTTTACTCTAAGATGGAGCTAGAGATACTGTTGGTGACTCGGCGCAATGATTCATTTGTAATTGGGAGCACTGCTTCAAGAGCATGCACACACACACACACACACACACACACACACACACACACACACACAC